CTAAAACTCACACTTAAGAGAACCACTCTTAAGATATAGAATTAGGAATTTGGCTAAAATAGCATCACACTATTTTAAGAGAATACTCAAAAGAGTAAACAAGGTTTTTGAATTAAAATATGCTGCTTACAATGGCCATAAGGCCGAGCTATATATGCACACTACAAAGGGGAAAGAATACATTAATAATGAAGAAGAAAACAATAACAAAGAAGCTTCCTACTGCCTTCCCAAATCAGCATCCAAATGAGTGCATTAATGACACGGATGAGGGTTTCCTTTGGCTGTTTTTTTGGGGAGTGCATGTCTGCCACATGTGAGGAAAGTCCAAGGCTGTGAAAAGCTTTACTTGGCCTATTTTGGAAGGGTCTATTTCGTCCATATGTAGCACAAATAAGTGGGAAACATTGTGGGGCTTAGTGGGATGTTATTTGGCTAAAAATGGGGTTGGTTTGTTCGGCCTCTAGTGAATGAAATCACAAGGAGATATTGGATGAATTTGGAGGATATTCTTTGGCTTGTTTTGAAGAGAGTATTTCAGCTATTAGTGAGCAAGACAAGGGAACATGGTGTGGCTGTGAAAGGAAAGTATTTTGGCTTAAAATGAGTTATGGATTTTTGGCCTTATGCACACAAAATCAAGAAGGATAATTTGAAACTTAATATGAAGATATCCTAGGCTGTATTTGGTGGATTGTTTTCGGCCTTTTGTAGGGGAAAAGGTGAGGAAGGTACACTGCATGTTTGGTTGTGAAATTAGTCAACAAAAAGAGAAACTTTTACTATTCAACTTTAGACTCTTTTTGCTGTTTTTTTTCCTTTGTGGTAAATGGTAATTTTGGTTGGATTTTAGGAACCAAATGGGGCTGGAATTTCATCCCTATGTAGGAACAAGAAGGGAAGTGTGTTATTTGATTATTTAAGGCTTTAAAAAAAAATAAAAGTGGTCTTCTTATTTTCGGTCAAGGGACTTAAAATAAGTGGAGGAAGACTTTATTTGAAAGGAAATAAAAGAAAATGCATTTTGGATGTTTAGGGATGGTTTGAGGTTTTGGTGGAGCCATCCAGGGGTATAACACAATTGCAGTTTTGATTTCAAGGCCGCGGGTCGGGTCACCCTGAGACGCTACCCTGAGACACTGGCAATTTCCTTAAATGAATTTAGAGAGGCGGAGAAGGAGAGGCAGAGAGAGAGAGAGGGGATAGATAGATCTAGGGTTTGGGAGGAGGCAAAGAGTGAAGAAGGAGAGAAGCAGCGAATAGAGAAGGGTCGTTGTGGCGCAAAGGAGAGGGGGTATATTTGTCTTTACACTGCCCTTTTTTGGATTTGGGAAGGTATTTTTGGGACGGGAAAAAAAGGAAATGGGAAGATGGTTTTAGGACGGAGGGAGTATGTAGTAGCTCTCATAGCATTAGTGCAGTATATGTTCAATCTTATATTTTCTAAACGTAGGGATTGAGCTCAAACACTGAATATGGAAAATTTTGAGGTAGTTTCCTTGTCACCGCGCCAACATTCTTCCAGTGCAGAATCTATTATATACTCCATTCATCCCAAAATGGACGTCCCGTTATCATTACGACTTTTCAATAATTTTTGTTTGTTTATATATTTTTTCATTGATCATTTGATATAATAAAATAGTCATATTTATTATATAGAACTTTTTATGTATTTTCAAATGATGTAATTTAAACTTTTCTATTTCTATATCAGTTTATATATTATAAATTTGAAAGTGATGAAACTTTACACATTGTTCAGACAGTGATATGCTTTGTAGAACGGAGAACGTATAGAAAAGAGTTGAATCAAAAAGCCAATTATGATAAATCCAATTTTGAATAAATTTTTTAATAAGAAATTTAGCTAAATAGGACTAAAACATAATGATTTTTCCAATATAGACCATATGTTTTTATTTCTCAATGTAGGACTTTTGGTCATTATTCAAGTAAATGTGTAGCATTACTGGATATTATTCCTCCACTAGGTCATTATTAAGTCATATTTAGGGAATAAAAAAGTTTAAATCCTGCATTAGAAAAGTCATTATGACATTATGTTTTAGTCCTATTTAGTGCAAATTTTTCACTTTTTTAAATACTTAAATTTTCTTAGTCAACCTACTCTAAGGCGCAAAGCAACTTAGAATAATTACAGAGAGTAGTAATTTCACGATGGGTAATTGGGCTGAAGCCCAGTAAAAAAAGCATAGGTCCCGAGAGTCAATGCCCCTCCTTTCTTCTCTCACAAACAAGAGTCAAATTGTCAAAAGCATCTCACTCCAGTTCACTCTATAACCGCGAGTTCAGTTATGATAATCCGCCCTGGTTTACGAGAAAAGAAAAAAATTTATCAGAGGAACCCATCTTTTACCACTGCCATTTCCTTTCCTCCTGCAGCCTTTGCTCTGTGTGAATCTATGTTCTAGCAGAACCATATGGAGTCCACGAAACCAGAACCCATTCCCCACCTGGTGCCCGGAAAACCGGAATCGGTTTCTCATCCGGTATCCGAGATAAAAGAAGTGGTTTCTCGGCCTCAACTGAATTTAGAAGATCTGGGGGAAGACGCTGATTCAGATTCTTCCCCGGCTAGTTCCAGCCAAATGGAATCCAAAATTCCACAGCCCATTTCTCCTCCGGTGCCCGGAAAACCGGATGATCCCGTGCTTATGAAAGAAGAAGCTGGTTCTCAAGAGAATTTGGAAGGAACCGGAAAAGCTGCTGCTTCAGATTCTCCGCCAGCTTGCTCCAGCCGAATGGGATCCAAAAAACGTGTGCTCATTCCTCAGCCGGTGACCGGAAAATCGGAGTCTGTCTCTCATCATCCGTCGCCGGAGAAACCAAGATCAGTTTTTGACTGGAGCTCTAAAGAAACCCACAAAGAAATTGCTTCAGATTTTTCTCCGGTTAGCTTCTTCGAGATGGAAAAATGGAAACAGGACCCGGTGACCGGAAAACTAGAAACCGCTGTTTCTTCATATTCTTGCCCAGCTAGCTACGAAGAAAATTCAACCACTAATATTCACAAGCACACTACCAGCGGAGATGGTATTACTGATATACAATATTCTCCGCCGGCAGAATCGGTGGGGGAGGATGTGGCGGGGCAGGAGGCGGCTGGGAAGAGGTCGGGGGAACAGGATTCTTTGGCCTTGGTGAAGATTGATCAGTACGGCGCCGGAGACATGGACGGAGGTGGTGCGGGAGGAGGAAGAGGCGGCGAGAACAGGCGGCGGTTGAAGGAGAGCTTGTCGGAGCTGAGGAAGTCGGAGAGGCAGAAAGCGATGAAGAAAGGTGCTTTGAGCTTTAGGGTGTTTGGATTTGTGTTGTGTTTGGCTTCGTTTTCCCTGATGGTGGCTAATCGGAAGCAGGGCTGGGCTATGGACTCTTTCGAGCTTTACAGGGAGTTCAGGTTTTTCTTTTTTTTTTTACTTTAACACGAATTCACCCGAATCTGGGCCTGCCCTTATCCACTCAGACCCGGTGTGGACAATTGTGTGATCCAACAAATAAATTGCTGGATCACAATTATATCTTCCACTATTTTTAGTGTTAAAAAATAAGATAAAATAAGAATAGGTCCATCAATGATTCAATGATACAAATATAATACTTCCTCCACCCAACATTTTTTTTTCATTTTGACTTAGTACGCGAATTAAGAAAACTTAAAAAATATAAAGACTTTTCATGTTTGTCTTTGATGTCATGTAATAAAGTGAGCAGTATAGATGAGAAGTGGGATGTAATGATACATTTATTAAAAGTTTTCTATCAAAATAAGAAATGAGAAAGAAATTTTTGCACAACCAAAAGTGGGAAAGAAATTAATAGGCGAAGGGAGTACTAGTAACATATATTATGAGACAAAAATAATGGGACTAAAAGAATTAAACATAGAAGACAAAATAATGAGTGTGAAGGGATATACTCGAGTTTGATTCTAAGTGTGTTGGAAAGCAACTATGCTAAAACTGCAAGTATCAGGTGTATGTTTCACTCTTTGTCACTAATATGCGATCAAAGTCCGATTTAATTTCTCTCATTGACCGTCTGACCGGGTCTGATAGGGTTCTTGGAGATAGAGCTCATCCCTTTTTTGGAAGACAGAAATAATGGGATAGAAAGTACTGCATGGGCAGGGAAATCAAACATTTATGGTAGATTGACTAGAATTAAATGTGGTATTGATAAGGAAACGGGAATGGCAGGTACTCGGTGTCAGTGAATGCCATAGGATTTGTATATTCAGGAGCACAGGCAATTGATTTGATTTACCACTCTGCAACTGGAAAGAATGTTTTCCAGCACCCTTTCCGCTCTCTCTTTGATTTCTTGGTCGATCAGGTGAGTTTCTTCATGCTTTTAGGATCAGTCTAGTGAGTTTTTGGAGAATTGATACTAGGGATTTGAAATCTGGAATGAATGAAGATATGGATTCTAATAACTTGATTGAAAGTGTCCTAAAAGAGATCTGAAATAATGGTTGTTAGCGACAGACATGGACTGGCCAACAGCAATGATATTAAAATTCCGGATTGATCTCTCAAATTCGGGGATATCAAAATACCCCATTTGTGATGGTTACGAAATGAAGAGATATCAAATCCCGAGCTCCCTAAACGGGTCCTTCATATATCAAATCCGAAGTACTGCTTAGTACTGATACTGGTCAGTTGCGCCACGAAAATTTAAGGCAACTTTGGTTGAAATTTCAGGTGATAGCGTACCTTCTAATATCTGCATCGTCTTCGGCTATCACACGAGTTGAAGAATGGCGATCCAATTGGGGAGAGGACAAGTTCCCAGATATGGCAAGTGCTTCTGTGATCGTTTCCTTCATCGCCTTTGTTGCCTTGGCATTTAGTTCTCTCATATCCGGTTATGCCCTTTGCACTCCCAAATCTGTGCACACATGAGTGATCACAATTCACGACTTGCAAAATGTACACTTTTTTTTTTCTTCACAAATTTTGAAGTGGTCAAATTTTGTATATTTAGGGCCTGTTCTTTGTTACACCATTCTGGTCATCTATGAGCCAAATGTTAGTTGTGCGTATGTGTGTGTGATTGATAAGGTTCTTTGTGTAATCAACCTGATACAACCATGTATGATTTCTTTAAAACGAAAAGGAAAAAACAAAAAATTATCGTAGCATCTTCGGAGTTTTATTTCTATATATTAAGAATCAGTCAAGCTTCGCAGCTAGTTGGCGGGAACTCCAAGTGGCGGTTTTCTTGGAGAGCGAAGACGAAGAGGAAGGAAGAATGATGGTGGGCAACCTCATGCTCTCTTCAACATGAGGGAAATCAACCGTGTAGTGAAGGCCGCGGCTTTCGTGCCTTGAGAGGGCACTACTCACCACCAGCTTGGCACAACAGAAGAGGTTCCTCATCTCACAAGCCTCCAACCCAACCATGGTTCCTTCCCAACCCTGGTTAAATAAGTAGGCTTCCCACTCCGTTTCCAACTCCCCGATCCTCTTCTCCGCGGTCTCCAGCCTCGTCGTTGACCGGACGATCCCCACGTATTCCCACATGATCGACTGCAGTTCCTCCCTCGTCTCCCTCGTCCGCCGTGCAATTCTGTTCATCGCCGCATCACCCAGAAATGTGGGGAGCACGGGCGGGGCCCACCAGACCGGGGTGCTTCCGGAGCATGATGACATGTAGCGGTCGATCGAAGGCTGCACGGCTCTCCGTGCAAACACCAGAGCCTCGAGCAATGAGTTGCTGGCCAGCCGGTTTGCTCCGTGCAACCCCGTGCAGGCAACCTCGCCAGCTACGTATAACCCCCGCACATTAGTCTCCCCGTGGAGCCCGGCACGGACTCCCCCACACATGTAATGGGCGGCGGGGACCACAGGGATAGGTTGACGGGTAATGTCCAGTCCATACTTGAGACACTCGGCTGCTATGTTTGGGAAATGGTCAAGAATCTCTTCTTTATCTCTATGACTGATGTCTAGGAGGACATATTTTTCCTTGCGCTTTTTGAGCTGGTCGTCTATGCTTCTTGCTACCACATCTCTGGGTGCTAGTTCTGCTCTCTCGTCGTATAGGGGCATGAACCTCTGCATGTCCATGTTATAAAGGATACCTCCATCACCCCTGACAGCTTCTGTGATCAGAAAGGCATTTTCGCGGGCATGCGCTGGTCTTAAGGGGAGACCTTCATCAGCTAAGGCAGTTGGGTGAAACTGCACAAACCTGTAAACCACAACTGTTATGCACAGAATATAGTCTAGCAAGTGGTTTGAAGTTATTTTCTGAACTTGATTTTTGTTACTTACTCCATGTTAGAAATGACGGCCTGTGCCCGATGGGCCATAGCTATTCCATCACCGGTGGAGACCTTTCATAACATTTACCACACCATAGTTAGAACGAATCATGGCAGTAATGCTATAAACTACGTATGGTCATTTAGTGAGAACGAAAAGAAGGTAAGACTTGGAGAAAGAATAGAAGAAAGATTCAATATTTATTATGGAGTACTCTGTATAAAACTTGGCCATTTATCCTACTTATTTTATATTTGAAATTTATTGTGTATGTTTCAAAGGTTTAACACTTTAACTTATACAATGTGATTTCATTACCCTCCAATATCAATAATTCAAGCAATTAAAAGTAAATGTATTTGCTTTACTTTCATCCAATGAAAAATTTCCAAAACATAGCCATAACGTTTGAAAACAATGGTTAATGATAAGAACATGACAAGTTCAACACCAGGTGGAAAGTCAGAAATAAAAGTTATTGAAGAAAAAGAGGTGAACCCCTACCAGAGGATTAGTGGTTGATGGATAAATATGCCCAGCTCCCCCCGAAGCAAGCAGGGTAACCTTTGAAACAAATCTTACTACCTACAGTTCAATTGGGAGGTGACACCACAATAATATTAATTGAAAGGCCCTCGAAATACGCGAACTTAAGAATAAGAACAAACCAAGGAGGTGTCTTACCTCAGAAGTTTCAGTATTCAAGGTGTCAACTCCATGACAGGTTGTGACAGAACCATCCTGCAGCCAGAATTCACATTGGTATAATTTAATGCACTCCATGCCTAAAATCATAACCAGACTCTTAAGGTCCATTTGGAACTCCATAACATTAGGGAAACAGATAAGGAAAAATGTATAGGAGAAATTTGGAAAGAAAAAATGCAAGGGGAATAGAATGTGTTCAAACTTAATAAATATGTTTTTTTTTATTTATCAATTTCAATTATATAAAACTAAGACCTCTAAACGTAAGTAAACCTGTTTTCACCAATTCCCCGTCGTTTTCCAGTTTCCAAAGATACCCTCAAAGTTTACTCAATAAAACCATTCCAATGTTCAGTTGTTCATCAATCACATTCAAAATATTGTTTTGTTACGGTTTCAGTAGTCATCATGAGAATTTCTAGCACAAAAACAAGGCAACAAGAGCATGAGAAGCTAACCTGTGACGTAAGCAAGTCTATTGCAAAATGGTGCTCAAAAACATAAATGTTTGGATCTTTTTTAACTGCCTCTAACAATGCTCTCTCTATTTCCCTGCCTGTCATATCTGCTGCATGCACAATTCTGTGATGAGAGTGCCCCCCTTCCCTGGCAAGGTGCAAGTTCCCATCCTCACCGTGATCAAATGAAGCCCCCATAGCTATCAACTCTTTAATTCTTTCAGGTCCTTCTGTGCATACAACCTGGAGATAAAAATCTACCGATGAACTAGCATAATTTCTATAGAATGCAATCCTAAAAAAAGGAATAATCATTGTCATAATGTTGCGTATCCCGGAATCAGTTATCAAGTTGTCCAATCTGATTAGGACAGAGGTGCATGTTGAGCATCCACATTTCCACGTTGATAGTCTACTTGATATTCTACTTGATATGAGTCCCATTATTTAAATTTACGTAAAACAGTAAAACCTCACCTCTTGATGATCTATTTTGGGATGAGTTTAGACTTTAGAGCAATTTAACACATAGCAATCCGTAGTATGTATTAATTAAAATTCAAGAAAACATACTCTGACCGTCTCCTCATCACAGAGGTAAGCACCAGCTACAATTGTATCTTGCATATGGCTCTCTACCGAATCCTTAGGACAGAGAACAGCACTCACACCACCCTGTGCATAGTTAGTATTGCTTTCATGTGGCTCAGCTTTTGTTATGACTGCCACAGTTCCATATTTTGCAACCTCAAGAGCATATCGAAGTCCAGCAACCCCACTACCAATAACAGCAAAGGCAAAATACTTGGTAGAGCCATTTCTAAGGCATGATGTAACTGCTGGTTTATGGGATTTCCTATTCACATAAGCCTGAGAATGTGAAGCATTGTCTCTTGATAATAATTTGGATGCACTGCATGACCTGGGGAAAAATCAGAAAAATAAAACTGGAAGAACTTTGAAGTTTATTGTGCATCAATTCTACCAGATGCAAGAAACTGAACTTTTTGGCAGTAAATAACAGCATTTTAACTAAGAAAAATGAGTTGCTAGTTCAACTTGGCTCGCTTGGTCCATGGTGAGCAAGCTAACTTGCACCATAGTAAATGAAATAAAGAAAAAATTGTGAGGTCGAGAAATCAAAAGTTATGTAGAAACAATATGAAATACAGAACTCATTTCCTAAAAAGTTAATGAGAACCAAATTTAGGCACATCTGAAAAACGAAAAAAAAAACAAAATTAATCAACAAAAAATGCTAATCGAAGGAGTATCATGAGAAGGTAAATAACAGATCTAGAATAATGATTCTCACATGGCATACCAGGACAACGCTTTATGAATGCTGCTCTGGATGGATACGCTAGGAAAACAATGAGGATGTTTCCACCTGTGACCCCTGTATGCAGAAATACTAACATGAAGATGGCTGCTTCCTGGAGCAACGCTAGTCGCCATTCCTGTTTGTCTGCAAGCGCAAAGAGAATTAAAAAGTTCATGGACCTGAATCATCGTTTGATCGAGATTCAATGTTTGGGGATTAGGGCTTCTTGTTTATTAATAAAACACCAATTGCTTAGGGAAAAAAATCAGAAATATGTTGGCTGATTTGGGAGGATGTTGAAGAAAGAGACCGTGAGGGAGGAGCAGTCAATATTGGGCGCGCGGCACGGGACTACCTAGCTTATGATGCGGGGCCAGAGTGGGCGGCGGTATCCTCCTTGCGGCGGTTAGGAGTGGTGGTTGGTGGCCCTCCACTTTGCCTGTCAGGTGTCAATTGCTCTGTCGCATATTTGCAGGAGGAAGAAGGATGATGGGTCCCAAGGAGCATATAGCAAATGGCAAAATATTCAATGTGGGTATATACTCCATATAAACTATGGGCAAGGTTCCCACCCAATGTATGACTCGGGGCGCTCCCGTCCCGTTTGTAAAATTGAAAGTTTCTATCCCTTATAACTTCTCGGTAAACTTCCCACCCCGCACCGATCCGAACACACCCCCCATCCCCTTCAATTACACTCTACAATGTCATGTGAACTTTGGTGATAAATTATATACTCTTATTTCCTATTCTCAGTTGGGTGGGACTATGGGCATATTTGAATTTTGTTTTTTGATAGTTTTTGGGCTATTTTGCTCTAATTATAGTTGTCCTCACTGATCAAACAATTGGATAAGAGTGTTTGGCAAACGATTATTGACGTTGGATGAAAGAGTTCGAAATACCAAAATATGAAAAGGTCAAAGGAGTAGTCTTTCAAATTGGTTGTTGGCTGTTGGAGTATGATTATTTCTTGCATAAACATTAAATAAATGAACAATTAAACAAATAAATAAGTAAATAAATAAATACATAAATAAAAACATATGAAAGTACAAAAAAATTCACTATATTTTGGTAGTTTGGTACTATATAGATAAATTTCTCATAAACAAATCACCTAACAAAAAATCAGCGATACGTCTCCTCCAATCGATTAGTCTCCTCGGGAAATGGATTTTCGCTCTCCATCTTCTCGGTGCTTCCATCACACTCTTCTTCCAGTTAGTCTTCGATCCTATTCCAACTAATTTGAACTTCAAATAATCTTATTTCCAAGTAGACAATTTTAAATTTAATCATGGTGGATGCTAGTTTTTTTATATATTTTATTCATTACATTAGATTTTTGTGAAACTAAGATTTAACTTTTTAAAAAATAAATGTTAATTTTTGAAAAATGATGTTGATAGATAAATTTCAAAAACATAGAGCTATGAAAATCTTTTTTCAAAGAAAACTATTAGCAGCTTCATGAATTCCATTAAGGAAGGATTTCCAAATGTAAAAACAATGAAAGTGGTTAATGTGATTTTTAATGAACCCTTTGCACTATGTTTGGTTCAAGGATTTTGGAAGGAAAAGAAAATGGTTCTCTTTCATTTTCCTCACCAAAATGGGAGAAATTTGGTTTTCTTTCAACTTAGTATATTTGTCTTCTCATTTTCTTTTCTTTAACACTTTTTCTCTCCAACCAAACTTGGAAAATTATTTCCACTTCATTTTCTTTTCTTTTCATTTCAAATTCCTTGGTGTAAGTGTAATATGATCCTTAAAGTTTTACAAGGATAAGGTCTTCAATATATTATACGTACTCTGTCCAAATTTGATTATAAATGAAAATTATGAGGTAAAATCTCAAAAATTTTGAATTTTTTTTATTTTTCAATATCTACGTCAATAAAAAAATAAAAATTACATATTAAAAAAATTAAGTAAAAAATTATTGTACAACCCAGGTGTCCGAGGCCAATGGTGTTTTGATTACGTGGCATTTAGATGTTGCGGGAACTTTTTGCCACGTTATCACCGCCATGGGTTCGATAGGTTGAAGAAATCAACGATGGCTTATGCGCGGGTTCCGAAATTTCCGCTCCAAAAGAGCATTTGAGCAACTGCCGCTTCACCCTCTCCGGCCTCACAATTGAATCACACCTAGAATTTGCAAAACCGACCGGCGTCTACGAATCAATCTCGAAGATTTTCTACGGTACCGGAAGAAGATGTGGAGCTGGTGGTCGATCTTCAGAGAACCGCCGCCACCGGTGGTGCTGGTTCCTCCGCTCTTCGACTATCCTCCTCTCGCTGCTCGTACAAGGTTCTCCCGACTGGCTGTGGCGATCTTTTTTTGTTTTAAATTTTCATCGTTGTAGACCTAATTTCTCGATTTCACGAGAGGCTTTAATGTTCTGCGCAATACTTCTACGTTTCTGGTTGAAAAACTGTATTCTGGTTGAAAAACTGTATTGAGGTCATTTGGGAATGTAATGTAGGATGCTAGAATCATCGTATAACTTGCTATTTGGGAAGCTTGCGTTGAGATGCCTTTTTGATGATTACTTTGAGGAGGCTAGGAACTTTAGCACCAGAATTATGCTGAGGCCCATTGATGATCCTCATGTTGATTTGATTGCTACTGTATCCCACAACTTGCTTATTGATTTTGCTTCCCGTATCTGTCAATATTCATTTAACCAGAATCCGGAAATATAAAGCTGATGTAGAATCACAGTTATGGTTTATGAGCCTTCAGCTCAATGAAACTGTAAAATGTTTCCTTAGCAATTTAAGGTTTCACGTCCACTCGTTAAAAAATCCAATGCTGGAGAAGAGCTTGTAGGGAATGCACAATTTAGGTGGCAAAGGTATTACAAGATTATCGGCATTCATGAATTTAATATATATTTGTTTCATTGAATATATCTGTTTTTTTATTAATTAATGGTTTAACGTAACTTTGTAAAAATATGAAATGTCTTTCAGTGACATTGAGGATCCTCATTCATTTATCGATCTTTCTGTCTCGAATTCTGAACCGTAAGTATCTAAGTTCTCTAAGAGCTTCAACAGTTTGTGCGTGTGTGTGTGTGCACCTACATGAGGGATTTGAGACAAGGATATTGCTAATTTCTTTTTCCCGGTTGCATGACTAGAATTCTACTGTTGAGATCATCTGCATTTTATCCTAAGTATGGGATCGGTGCTTTTGGAATTTTTCCAGTCCCGCTAAAGAGAAGGTTTGTTTGGAAACAACATCATATTGGAACAAACCTCAACGTTTAAGATTCAGCCAAAATTATTATACACATGTTACTTTTGCAGAGTATCTCCTGAAGATTTTGGAATTGTGGGTTTGAGATATGGCTCTTCAAATCTGTCATTTGGAGCTACAATGTTGCCTTTCTCTTGTACGAGAACTTTTAATATACTCCGTACAGTTTATCAAAATAAAAACACTCTAACCATACCTGCTGTAACTTCTTCATGCATAAGTCCTGGACATTTTATATGCCTCATAAGTCATATATAACAGATATTTTTGGGCTTGCATTCAAGAGCTTTGAGGCCTTTTCATTTCTCTGCAGCAGCCGCTGATGTTCCAAAGACTGCATGGTTGGTGAGCAAGGTGGGAAGGTTAACTGCAGGGGTGCAGTATGAACCACAATGTACCAAATTTAATCCCAAAAATATCCTATGTAATGTTGCAGAATTCAACTGTATATGATGGAAATTGATATTGTTCTCTCTTTTCTGTTTGATACTCAAATTAGTTGGAAGCAAAGATGTACCAAAGTATAAGGACTCAGCAAATTGGAGCTGTGCAGTTTGCTATGGAGTGGGATCTGGAAGTCCTTTGAGCCCATCCTTCAATTTTGGTCTGGAACTTTCTAGAAATTCACAGGTTTTTGTATTCTCCATTCAATATAAATTTATAATATTGCATCACATGGTCACATTCTTTAACCAAAAAAATCTTTGCAGTTTATTGCTTCATTTTACCAACATGTGGTGGTTCAAAGACGGGTATGTGCTCACTTTCTTCCTCTCTGTACTAATGTACACTTCACTAGTAGCAACAAGAAGCTGATAGTATATTCAATATCTTATAGCCATATAGTCTATATGTTGAAAGATTGAAAGGTAATGTATTAGAACACATAGGGAGCGATATATAATAGTACAGGAAACCTTACTTTCCCAGATGTCGAATCCTTTCACTTAGGCTTCAAATCAAACTTACACGAAGTTAATGTGATGTCATATACTCCGTATGTAATTTCATATAAGGTTTCACATAAGGTAAAGTTAACTAGTCAACTAATCAGACTATCTCTATTGCTCTTACAGTTGTACTCTAATAGAATACTAAGACTTTGTGTGTGTGTGTGGCGTTATAGGTTAAAAATCCTCTTGAAGAAAATGAAGTAGTTGGTATAACAAACTATATTGACTTTGGCTTTGAGTTGCGTACAAGGTACTTTTGGGTAGTGCTAAAGGAGTATTTAATTAATACGGAGTATTTTGTATTAAAACATGAGTCCTGATTTGGTTTACGTTTTAACTCAAGGGTTGATGATAAAAACACATCAAATGCTATCCAAGATTCTACTTTTCAAGTTGCTGCATCTTGGCAAGCAAATAAAAACTTCCTGCTCAAGGTAAGAATCGCCCTTTTTCTCACGCCTTTATTGTATCTTGATATTGATTCATTATGTGGGCAAGACTGATAAAGTACGGAGTAATTGTTACAGGGAAAAGTTGGGCCTCTCAGCTCATCAACGGTTTTAGCATTTAAATCATGGTGGAAACCTTCTTTCACTTTCAGCATATCAGGTGTGTAACTGTGTAATAGCAAATGGAATATCTTGTACCATTTTTTTAAGGGCAAAAGATCTTAGAATGAGGTCTCCATACTGTTTGAGTACATAGAGAATTGCAAATTTTGAATTAAAAAAAATCTCTCTGAGTATTCCTTCTGCTATCTGGGCAGCTAACAGAGACCACACAAAAGGGCAAACATCCTTGGGATTTGGCATTTGTGTGGACAACATCAGAGAAGGAAGGTTGGTCTAGTTTTTCTTTTTTAATCTTTAAATGTTTATCCATTCATTCAGGACATGAAGGATGAAAACTAATAATTTGTTTGGTCATGGATTGGCAGTTTCTTTTTTTCACTACCTAATTTCATAGCTTTCATCTCCTAACTCCCAAATCAATGAAAGAATGGCCAAAATGTCAAATCACACTTTCTAATTTTTTTCTCTGTTCTCACCATACAGCTACCAGAGGGCTGATCCCAACTTTGTAATGCTGACACCTACTAAGGAGCATCTGGCAGAAGGCATACAATGGAAAAATGGAAAGAGGCCGGTATTGGAGTCTGACATAAAATCTGGGAACTTTGAAGACATCCCAAGAGAACTGCGGCCCTTGGCGAAAATTCTCTAGTTTTATCTCTCAATTCAATCTTTTACCCAGATATTGACTTTCTTGAAGTTTGTTGCAGTTTAGCAGTGGTGCCTTTGATTTGATTGTTAGAGCATAATCTGAGAGAATTACATGGAACAACTGAACTTGCTGATTAATGAACAAGTTGCTAGAATGGAATATCAAGATGAAGTCAACACATGTCATGACTAATCTTTATAAATACCCAATGCACCTTTTCTTAATCCAAAGAAAGAAGCTACAATCCACCATTGGTTCTTCAACTTTATGAGTTGTTCACGATTGGTTTTTCAAGTTTCAAAAATTCATGAATAGTCCTTCAACTTTATGAGTTGTGCACGATTGGTCCTTTAAGTTTCAAAAGTCCATAAGTAGTCCTTCAAGTACACGTTAACCCTCCAGATGAGGTCATTTGACAGTAAACATTAAAAGCTAAATAGAATACTAGTTCCATATAATATGAGTAAGTTCCACTAGGTACGACTACTCCGTATTATATGGAGCTAGTACTCCATTTAGCTTTTAACGTTTACCGTCAAAAGGACCTCATCTGGAGGGCTGATGTGTACTTGAAGAACTACTTAAGGACTTTTGAAACTTGAAGGACCAATCGTGCATAGTTCATAAAGTTGAAGAACTATTTATGGACTTTTGAAATTTGAAAGACCAACCATGCACAATTGATAAAGTTGAATGACCAATAGTAGAGTTTATCCGATATACAAAGAATGTTTTTTAAGCTTCATTTCTCTTATATTCTTCTCCGTATTACTTACGATCAATTACCACATCAAATTTCGATATTCCTGTGAAATAATATCAATCAGTACTCCGTATTATTTATATTTCTTAAGTAACATAACTATACAACCTCTTACTTATAGGTAGTATTACCAACAATATACTCCGTATATGCATATTACTTTTTAACTATGCAATATACAAATAAAGTAATGACACGTTATATATTTATCAGCCCTTTGGCTCATTGCATTGTATAAAAGAAAGAAGTAAACTATTTGACCTGACAAATGACTCTACAATCTATATAAAAAAAAATTCTACAAAACAAGATGTGACTAAGCTATTTTGTTTTATAAACGATAATGAAAATGTATAAGGAAAGAATATGCGGTTTGACCCCGCAAATAGCCTTCACAAATACCTCTGTTGAAGAGTTTACGTAGTCTCAGTGCTCAACCCCAAGCTTCTCGGACCTCCCCTGGCGATCCAAGTATTGAACAAGATCATGAGGCATGGGTCGGAAGATGGACTGGAAAACCCGGTATGAAAAATATGGTAAGAGGGTAGAAATGACAACAAGAAGGGTGAGGAGCCAATATAAAGGACTTGGGGCGCAAGCTTCCACAAAAACCCGGTAGGCAGTTGTAGATATGTTGGTCGGCAAAGAGCCATAAGCGACTAAAAACAAATACCAGACGGCGATGCTTCCCCATATGAAGATGTGTTGGATCCAGGTGAAGTAGTTGATACAGAGTGCCATTTGGCAATTGACTGTCCACACCACACAAGAATACATCATCACTCCTATGACTTCATAGTCCACGGGTTGACCATCTTTTCGAAATGCTTGGTGTAAGATGGAGCTGGTTGTTAAGTAGAAGATGATCGTGGCGCATAGAACTCCATTCAACATCCACCCGAGAATTCGGTACCACTTGAAGAGCATATTCTGGCTCCCCTCCTTGTAGACCATAGGATGCTGTGGAGGAAAAGGTGATGAAACTGTTGAAGACCAACTATGATTGCGTACATATGAACAATAGACTATATACAATATATTATAAGAATGACAAATGCTAGAGTTCANGGGGGGACCCTGAGGTGATTTTGGGGCCCGAAAAAATACCTGAAGACAGAGCTGATCAGAGAGATCCTGATCAAAAACGCCGATAGCAATCACAGGAAGTGAAGTGAAGAATACATTATAGAGTGACATATACCAATCATTATAAGCAGCCCGCCCAGAGAAAGAAGCGAAAGCCTCAAACCAGAAAAGGGTAAACCCAAATGTGAGGTTCTTGTAAAAGAAGTAGCATATCTGCACCCACCAAGAGATACAAAAGAAGACAAGAATAAAATAAGCTGTTCGAGAGTCTGTTTGGATAACTTATGATAAAAGTGTTTTTTCACATAAACACACTGTTTTTGAAACACCAATATCCTGCTTTTTGAATAAGCACTAAAGGCACCTAAAAAGAGCTTTAAAAAACACTTTTCACATTTTATTTTTAATAGAAAACACTTCTTTTTGGAGTCAAAAACAATTTACTTCCTTTAAAAAAAATACTTGTTTACTTCAAAATAACTAAATAAGTCATCACCAGCGCACTTTAATCTTGTGTGAAGTATCAATGCATTTAATGTAACATGTTGATTAGCCTTATTGCTTGTTCGCTTATGTGAAATAATCAACACAATTTTGAAATAAACTTAAAATGCGTGAAGATATTTTTTCATTGATTAGAAGAAGAGTACAAACAAGAGAGTTCACCATCATTGATATTCTGCGGTAACACCAGTGACCATGAACCAACAACAGCCGTTCTAGAAAACGGAACTGTGCTATTGCATAGTCACTTGCCATGACAGCCTAAGAAGCAGGAAAAAAAATCATCAGTTCAACTATTACAAGACCTATACGAAGAAGAAAATATAGTAGACAAAGACCTGCATCCCCTCAACCCCGCTTATGCCGACCCCAACATCAGCTTCTTGAAGCATGCTGACATCATTTGCCCCATCACCAATGGCCAGTGTCCTCCCACCTGTTCCTTTCACCAACGCTGTTACCTGCATATCTTCAAACAGTTTTGCTAAGTTTATTTAGATTCATTGCAAATGGTTCTCAGGAGAGAGAAAAATGGGTGCACCACTCACAAGAGCTTTTTGTTTAGGCGTAGAGCGACAGCATATAACAGATCCACATTTCAAAGCGAGGTCCAAAAATGGCTTCCTCATACACTCCTCGAGAGCATAAGAGAGTGCATTTCCATCGATAATCAAACCAACCGACTTTGGACTTGATTCAGTTTGAGTCATTCCATCATTTACTTGTGCTGTTACCCTTCTTAAAGCCTATGAAGGTAGAGAATTGTGAAGATGGAAGTGGAGGATTGACATGAAAACAAATCCAAGATATATACCTCAGCATCCTTTTCTCCTTGATTTTCCAAGCTACTTATTTGCAGAGAATCCAGACTAATTATAATTAGCTTCATGTCTGGTCTCAGTAAACTACAAGCATACCTGCAGGAATTTCAGAATAACGAATTAATATTCTATAGTGTAATGTTTTAGACAATAAATAGTATGCGCAAATGAATACCCAATATTGATTGCTGTCTCCATCTTATCACCAGTTAAGACCCATATCTTAATCCCAGCAACCGTCAGCTTGTTAATGCATTCGGGAACCTATACCAGAAGAACAATCAAATGTGTACTTGCGATCATTGAAGGATGGAAAAATATCACTACAAGTAGACATTATTGTCACTACAGCTCCTACTTTGTTAGAAATTATAGAGGAAGAACGCTGCGAAGCAGCGTTGAAGAATCAATAAATGAAGAACGAGAATCACAACTTGATAGTTTAACGAATCGCAAATACGCTTTCAGATCAAAGTTATTTTGGGGTATACCAAAATACTTTAATCGGACAAGACGTTAATCAAGAACAAGCCTTTCAAAATCACTATCTTAACCATACCCGTGCGTCTCTATTTATAGAGAAGAAGAATCTCCAATCAGACCTGATTTTTCGCTTAAACTTGCAATTTTTTGCACGGTATGGACAAACGCAAACTTTTGACGTTTTGGACGCAAATGTTCGCAACGTTTGGTCAAATTTGATCTTTATCCGAAGTCCAGGTTTTCCTAATATTTTGGACTCCGTTCACGAAAATCTGAAGGATTTTCATAAAGCAATAATCGACCCCGGCCAGGGGCTCTGCCCCTTGGACCCCGGACTCCCGCCATGAATTTGTAATATCGTTGAACGAGTGTGCACTCCGCACCTCCTAACTCGTTTGACAACGTCTATTCAAATTCTTGTCTGATCTAAGAAAATCCAATCACACAAAATAGCCGATGACACTAAAATCATCAACATACTTCACATCTATATGTGCAACGTAACAAAAAGTACATACTCTGGCTCTCCTTATATTTAAGAAGTACTCTGTAATTAAGAACGACAAAGTACAAAGTTTGGTTATAACCCCTTTTTGAAGTTTATCCTCAACAGCTGTGGCTCCAAGGAGAATTAAGTCCCTTTCAATTTTATCAGCAGCAGCATCCACTAAAGCTTCTCTATCATCTGAAGATACCTGAGCACTTAATAACTCTTTTTCCCATGATTTGAACTCTTCTTCACCAAGCTCACGGTATGCTATAACTAATGTTCGCAGTCCTGCATTGGCGTACTGTTCAATATGTTCTCTAGTTTTTTCCTCAAAAAGCCGTCCATTTTTTGAAAGCTTTCTAAACACCACACTGAAATTTAAATGGGACAAATAAACACAGGAATTGTGTCACGTGGTAGCAAAATGCAAACTAAGAAGAAAAAAAGGTTAATTCAGAAGCACGCTGTGAATAGCCAGTGAAATAGAAAACCTGTCTGCACCCTTGCACAAGAGTAACAATTTGTTTTCAGGAGTTCTAACAATCACAGACATTCTCTTCCTTGCAGGATTGAACTCCAAGAGGTGAAGGAGCTGGTACGATCTGAAGATGAAGTGGTTCATAGCAGACAGTTAAAATGACAAAGCAGAACATAAATACATCCAAGAAACTAGATGTGAGGTCTATAATATGGTAAAGTAGGCCATGAAAATAAAGTTCTAATTTTTCTGGTTTCTGTGGGAGCATCAGCTGTTTAGGCTTAACCTTTTTTTTAGACATTGTGTAGGATAAAATTATGATTGTCAAGGTTCTATAATAGTCTCCGTCCCACAGAAAGCAGAAAAAATATATGGTTATACTAGCCAGGGACCGTCTTCTGTTTATCATGCCACACTTTCAGAACTGTGACAAATCCTTCCCATACCGCACAGAATGTGGTATCTATTCCCATTAACATCTATCCTTTGATGTAGTTAAAAAAAGGAAGGGGACAAGGAGATGATGATGACGACAAATTGAACTCCGGGTTTAAATTCATATAAAAACAAACTTGCCAAAAACAACCTGTCAATCCGTTTGGAACCTTCTTGATCCCATTCATGCAACCAAATACTAGTTTGTGTTCTTCCAGAGAACTCAAATCCGAGCTCTTTAGCTGCGACAACAAAAGCAGCTTCATCGGGTGACTCTGCCTCATAAGATACCTGACCTGGTGTTTTCACATCAGAGATGACAGTGTGGCAAATAGCCAACGCATTAAAAAATTTATGTATCACGTCTGCATGAGGTTCTTTAGCCCATCGACCATTCATTAGGCGCTCATCTTGAAAATTAAAGCCTTTTATTGATTTGGCTGTGGTGAAGTTATGAGAGTTTGGCACTTGTGGATCAATATAAGTATTAAGCTTTTCAGGACGCTCATTCCCTTTTCTCCTTGCCATGGCTCTCTCCACTTCTGTCACAACACGGCCATAAGAAGCTCCTGCTATTGAACATTTAACAAACTCCATAGAGTTGCATGTTAAAGTGCCTGTTTTGTCAGAGAGTATCGTTTCAACCTGTCCAAGTTCTTCATTCAAATTAGAGGTTCGTGCATGCGCAGGCTTATTCATCTCCCTGTAATACATTTCCTGATCTTGGTTGATGAAGATGCTCTGTAAAACCTTTACAATTTCAATAGAAACATATAGTGAAATTGGAATTAAATATCCATACAACATAAGGGCTGTCAGGAAGTGAAGAAACGCAGCAAGTGAAGCTCTTTTTGGATCAAACAACACATTAGCTTTGTCTGGTTCTAGATACCACCTCTTGAACCCCCAATTGTCAAGGTCTCTCTTAGTCCACAGTCCAAAAAAGATGGACCCAAAAGAAGCTATCATAATCAATGTACCAAAGAGGATATAGATTATTTTGTCCATTCTTTTCTCAATTGCACTCCTCTTAGAAGGAGGGTCCCTGGCATTTTGCATGACTTTTGTGTCATGACCAGTGAAAACAACCACTCCATAGATGTAATCGGTATTCCGTAATTTAGAACCTCTGAGAAGCAACTGATGTACTGAAAGTGGTCGTGGTTGCTGATCATCATAATAGAGAGTGCCAACAAAGGAATAAAGGTCTTCATTAGGGTCCTCACACTGGATCTTTGCCTTAAATTTCTGAAAGTCGTGGACAGAAGCTGTTTCACTCAGAGCATGTTTCACCTTCAGATTGGTCTCTCCATCAAGATTTGCAGTTTCAACATAGCAAATCCCATCTTCATAGTTCGATGAAAGCAAAATAAGATCAGCTGGGAAATATTCACCTTTCTTAACCTTAACAAGCTGACCAACTTGTATCTTCTTCCACATAGTTTCTTCAAACCCGTGGTTACTCGTACAAACTAAAACCTTCCTGCTGTTAGCTTCGACATCCTGAAGGGAAAGTTAGGGACAGAAGGGGAAATAAATACATATCAAATAACTTGTTCATAAACATTATAAAGACACTCAGTGCCACCAATGCTGCCTGCTGGAAAATAAAACTGACAAAAAAAACTATATCAAGCAAAAAGGACGTTGTGCAATATATATAACCTTGAAAATTATGTAGGATTCATATACAATTGCAAGTTAAAGCATGAAAGATGATCATTTGAATCGCGAGAATGTGATGCTAATGGATTGTTGTATATTTCTTCTACCATCTTTTTCCCATAAAACTACACACCCAAGAATGCCAGGTTCTACATTTACCTATCTCCTATCCGGATAATTGCAATGTCATTCTTTTCTTTAACATGATAGTACTACTTATATGTGTGTGTGTGACGAAGCCTAAACTTACACCCAATGCATCTCCCACTTGGATTGTTTCCATGCACAACCCATTGTAGGATTGAAAGTTACTAACACATAGATTGTCCTCATAAAATTTCACAACAATCCGACATAGTTTCGTAATTCATTTAATAAATCAAAATCAACGTAATATAATGTGCTAAAAAGTCTAAAAAAATAAAATTTTATGATTTAGTATGCTATGAACCACACACAAGAAGTCATTTTGATACCTGTTGCCTGCGTTTCCAGTCTTCTACACCTTCTTTGGCCATTGTTGCACCAATAACGACTATCAAGGGAAACAGAACACTACTAGCCGTATATGGGGCTAGAGGACTGAATGAGACAAAAGCCACTACAAGAAAGTATATATTTGCGACCCTCCTGAATTGCTCAAACAAGGACTTGGGGATAAAATTAACTGCTGTATACTTGGTGGTCTGGACATAATTATCCTTGTGGTTAGTTCTTTCAGGGTTATCTGGATCATTACAATGAACAACCCACGAGTAACCCTTCTTCCCAATTCGGTGATGTTCATCTCTAGATGGACTAGGAAGGCACGAAAATGTATACGGAAAACACCACATTTTCCCACCATCTGTCATCTTTTCCCAATAGTATTCCCTTCAAAATAGGACTAATTTGATTCAAATGGGCAAGAGACAAATTCTCGGGAAGCTCCCTTGAGATGCAAAAAGTTTTAACAATTTTACATCCAGTACACGAACTTATCCATCCTAAACACAGACGTAACTAAGAAACAAATGTCAGATAATTTCACTGGTATAGAACAGTGGCATATGACCTGAGAATTGAGAGATACATACATAAACTGAGCAAGAAATCCTATGTTTTTTTCAGTAGGTTGAGGTGTCAATAGCCCCTAAAAACCATAGGAATAGCATTCCCAGCACAAATCCTTAGATTGCTCTCAAGTAGTTCCAAACGATACTTTCCTTCATCAAGGGTCCGTACAAAAACATGAACTTTACGCCTCTGCATATACAAATCCCCTGCCGCCCAACTTTTCAGATTCTGAGCTGAAAGAAATCCCATTTTTTTAGCAAAAGGAAATGAGTGGAGATACTAAAATTCTGGGACTGGTTTTCCTGCAAAGCCGCAATTCCTTACGTGGGTCTCAAGTAGTCCCAAGAGAAACCACGGGAATCTAGGCCAGCCCAGAAGCAGGCCTCAGCATATAAGAAAGAGAGTTGGATGAAGCATTTCAGCAAACGTGTAGTGTGCATGACAGCGAAGAAGAGTGTAAGAGAATGAGATTTGAATGGATAAAATCAAAATCAAAATCAAATGTGATGAAAAAGAAAGAAAGAAAGAAAGAAAGAAAGAGGGCGTCGTTAGAAGTCGGAAGAGTAGTTGGCCAACCAACAAGGCTCTTGTCTTCTGTTGCATTCATTTGCTGTTTTTTTAGCAAAGCATAAAATAAAGAAAAAAAACTAGTGTTAAAAGCACTACTTTCTAAATTTTTAAAATTTTATAAATATATATTTTTTTGTTTTCTAATAGTGACATAATATTAGTTATATGAATAATTTGTTAACATAATATGTGTTATATACTTATATGTTTATAGAATCGTTAAAAATGAATTTTTTTTATACAAAATATAATTAAAGTAATAATTTTTCATACTAAAAAACTTTCTGAAATTGTCATTACTTTTTATGAAGGGTGACGATGAATGAGAAGATAAGGTGAAAAAAATGACTTATTTTTTGGATATTTTAGGTATTTTACTCTTAGAAATTTACGATAACAAGAAACATGCAACTTATTTTTGAACGGGGAAAAAAACAAGCAAATTAAAATGGGACAAAGGGAGTAACATTTTAACCCGAGTCACACACGAGTTGACGGGGTGAAACGATTTTTTTTTATTTTACAATTTTTGTTCACTACATCATTTTTCAAATATCGAACAAAATAAAACATCAACCTTAAAACTTAAAATAATGATAAGACATATAACATTTGTTAAGTACGGAGTAAATTTCTACAATATACATTTCAAATTTAAATGACAAAGTCTTTTTAAAAAATAAATATTTTGAAAAATTTTGAGATTTACACCAATTTAAATGTGAAAGATATTTAAAACTAATACTTTGAACTCTACTTTTTAGTCTTACTCGCAAAACATTAATATAAAATTAATTATAGAGTAAATCCATAAAAGGTCTCCAGTTATAGGTCGTTTTACATATTTAGTCCCTACATATCAAATATTATTAATTTAGTCCTCAATTATTATATTCATTTCAACGAATTGTCCTTTGTTAACATTTCCGTTAAGAATGTGGATAAAATTGTAAATTCACACTCTTCTCTCCTCAATTAAGCTTTCTCCCTCCACTCGCACTTCTTTCCCAAACTCATTGCTGAGTTTGAAGCTTTGAACCCAAAACCAAAAAAGAAAACCCCCTAAATAGGAGTAAAACATGTGTTGTATCTTTAAAGTAGGAGTTCAAACTTAAACTCCTCTAAGTAGGAGTAATTAATTATTTTTATTTTACAATTGTTTAGCCCCGGGAGAAGAAATGGAACACCACCCATTCATTCACTTCTTTAGTGGAAATTAAATGAACGTGCAAGTGACACTAGTGCTGACTCTCATGCATGCATGGATGCCAATATATGGCTAGCTATTACTTCTTCAGTCCAAACTCTTTCTGATTGTTTTCTTTCTTTTTTTTGGGATTATTTTTTTATTATTATTGGTGGGGTGGATTTTTTTTTGTTTCTTGGCATAGAGCTAACAATGGAGAGATTATTTGTTTATTTTAAGAGGAATTTACGTAAATAGCACTAAAATATAATAACTTTCTCTAAATAGCACTACATATGTTTCTTTTTCCAATGTAGCACTTTTAGTTATTATCCATTAGTCATTATTCAAAAAAATGTTTGTCATCACTGGTCATTATGAACATTATTAAGTGTTATTTAAAGAAGAAAACAATCTAAGTGCTATTTAAAGAAATGACTTAAGTTTTAGTGCTATTTAGTGTAAATATTTCTTATTTTAATTGTCTTCTTCCCATAATTAATGACTTCGTGGGCTCGATGCATGCACATGTATCACCGAGTACAATTGAACTTTTGGCATTTTGCAGAGCCACGTTTGTCACTGTGCATTGACATCTTTGGTATTTTGTTTTTGATTAACCTAAAATTTTGTATGTTTGCATCTTACAATGTCATGTTTTTCACTGTATGTTGTCATTTTTAACATTGTATTTTCAATTGACAGTGTATGAATTATTTTTTCTCCATGTATAGTAGCACCATGGCACTACACCTGTGGGGGTTAGTGATGTCGACAACGTGCGACGATAACAGGGGCAAGGGGTGATGAAAAGTGCCAGATCTTGGCGGCGGCAAACGGTGAGTCAACAACTCCTATTTTGGAGGTTTTATGTTTTCACTCCTATTTTGGATTTTAATCAATGTTTTACTCCTATTTTGCTCCTTAACCCAAACCAAAATTATCACTCTTTTCTCAATTGTTTATCTAGTTCGTGGAACCCAAATTCGAAATCGATAACCTTCATGGATGAGTTTTAATGTTTATTTTCTTTGCAATTTCTTGAAACTAACCGATAAAACTCATCCATAAAGCTTATTGGTTTTGATTTTAGGTTCCACCAGGAAGACTAATAATTGAGAGAGAAATGATCATTTCAGTTTTGGGTTTAGAGCTTCAAACTCAGCGACGAGTTTGGAAAAGACTACGAGAGGAGGGAGGAATCTTAACTGAGAAGAGAGAGAAGTTTGAATATAAAATTTTATCCATGTTCTTAACAAAAATGTTAACAAAGGACCATTCGTGAAAAATGATATAATAATTAGAGACTAAATTTGTAATATTTGATATGTAGGGACTAAATATGTAAAATGATCTCTAATTGGGAACCTTTTATGGAATTAATCTTAATTATAAGTGAATACCGAGTTGGTAAAAAATAATCTTATAAATGACCATGTTTAGCCTTCACTTTATTTATAATCATAAAGAAACAAACTATTGAAAATTATATTCTTTGAAACTTCAAAGCAAATCCTATGAAATGATACACAATTCATTTAATTTAGGTTATGTAAACTTTCTTAACCACTTTGTTTCCTAATTCAATGAATGTGCCAAAGATCATTTTTCACAACTCTTTAATGATTAATCTTATACTATTATACAATTCAGATATGATTATTGATCAATGTTCATCAATAACATAATAGATATAACTTTTCTTCAAATTATAATTATGTTATGGTTTAAGATTCACGGACAATTATTTAAATTCATAAACTCAACTATTCTACAATCGTCATTGATGAACAAAATATATGATCCTCCCAAATACCCCAATATTAGGTTAGATTATTGAAAAAAATTGATTCATCTTTTAGAATTAATATAATTCTCTTCTCTTGTATTCATTTTAAAAAAAATACAGTATATGTCTATTCTTTTTTGGATTAATTGAAAAAATAAAAAAAATTCTGATCCTATGATTATCTAATCTCCTTTGCATTAGTTAAAAAATTAGATTACTAAATACGAACGTTATGATTCAAAGAATATGATTCTTCTACCACACATCGCCGCATTAATTTAGAATAGTGAAATCAATAATATTATTCATCTCTCATGCGTTAATATGATTCTCCTCTCTCTCATTGATTAAAAAATACGATTCTTTTCTCCCCACATAATTTAAAAATAAAAGCATGGATTAGCAATACTACAATTGCACGTACCTACATTAGCTCGAGAATATTAATATAAAAAATATCGATGATCTAGTGATTCTGAATAGAAATTTTTCCAATTTTTTTCTTTCGGTTTGAATACAAAATTATTCAAGCCTTTGAAAATATCCATTTCTTAATTTATTTCATTTTAATATTTGATAATTTAAAACAATAGTCTAGTCGTTTCTTATTTTATAGTATATTAATGTAGAGATTAAAATATTTTTTTTATATTTTATTTTACATTAATATTGAAACTAAATAAAATACAAACTAACTTTATTTAAACATGTCATAAATAAATATAAATTTATTTATGAGAATAACGTTAGAGTAGCATTAGAGTTTAGAGATAAAATTTGGCCGTTTGCACCAGTGTTAGTGATTGGCTGTTTGCATTAGAGATTTAGACTCAGTTTGACATCAGTGCTAAAGATTAGCGTTAGCATTTTGAAAATGATATCTGACAATAGCCTTTAGTGATAACGTTTTAAAAAATTAATTCACACCGTTAAAATTTTATTCAAAACCCTAATGTTAATCGAAAACGTTGTTCTCAATAAAGGCATTAGAAAGTACGGAGTATCTTGGGGAATCATTTATTCATTGATAGTACAATGGAGTAAAGCCTATTTTTAATGAATTAAGTCATGGTCTATTTTTATGGGGGAGTGTGAATTATGAATAACTAAACGAGGACAAGCTTTTTGTAGATGCTTGACAATCAAAATTGACAACCATTTCAAACACAAAGATGAGCAAAAACAAAGGAGAAAATTTTTATCAAAACAAAAAAAAATGGAAAGGGGGCAAAAGAAGAGTAGACGCAACGACACACTTTGTTTATGGCCCTGCACATAAGTGAGAAACTAGATTTGAGTATTTACACGTACTTTTTCAAACAGGCATAAGAGACAATGGATGCTTTCTCTACACAACTCCTGCAATGAAAAATGAATATTTAAGAGACCAATATTGAGGAGCACCAGATTGTATTTGGGGCAGGACGGACTTTACCTTTTAGAGAACTCTGGAGCAAGTCGAAACACCTCGTACAAACAAACCACAGCAGCACGACCACCAGAATATCTAAACCACGTTACAGGTTCCAAATGCACAAATATATGAAGATAGCAAACTCATTCCTCAAATTTAGAAGAGCATTGGACCAACCTCAGAAGATGGCCAACTTAAAGAACAAGACGACAACAAAAAAAACAAGCAAAAGCTAGTGATAATCGAGGATACTGAAGAGACATTGCTCCCACCAGTCGAGCATGTAGAGACCAAAAGTGACATTGTAGAGATAGATCTTCCGCTGAATCCAATTCATTTCCAAGCAAATGTTGTTCCTGTCTCTGAAAGCAAGTAGATTATTTCAGTTTTTTTAGCATAATTTTATTTCAAAGGTAGTTGTAAAATGTAAAGGAGAAAATATTTGGGAAGAAAAACAAAGTTAAAGGATCCTCAAAGTTAGGAGTAGTATCTCAACATTTTATCTATCATCATGTAGTATCTCATAGTTAGGAGTAGTTAAAGGATCCTAATATTTCTCCTCCTGCTCCTTTCTATTATCAAATGCTATGCATCTTAAATGGTATCAGAGTAGCTATATTTTAAACAAAGTTTTCTCCCGGTCCTCCTCCTTCGTCAATTCGCTTTCGAATCATAAAACTATTCATGTTAAGTTCGAATTATTGTTCAAATATATCCGCGAACACTCAAATATTTGAATTCAATTTTTTTAAAGCTACCACGCTTAACAAGTGTGGACTAGAATGATCAAATAGAGATTTAAAAAAACTACCAGGGAGATGAAATTTTTGGAAGCTTCACAGTTTTCTAAATGCGCAATTCACCATCAGCAGACCTGCAAGATTGACCAAGAAAAAACGACGCTTGAGTTTCAGATCCAATCCATAACCTGAATTTCAGACCTAAGCCATGCCTTCCAACAAAATCTGAAATACCTGAAAATGGACCGGATACTGGAGAATGAAAGCGTGGTTGACGATGTGGGGCTCGGTTTCGAATTAGATTGCAAATGGAAAGAAGACTTAGAGGCGATTGGAGAAGGGAAGCGTTGAGCGAGCTCGAAGGAGAGGAAGATGGAGACAGACCTGCGGGATGCGAGTGCTCGATCTGAATGACCAGACCAGAGAATGGGATAGGGTTAATTTCTACACCGTTTATTTTTAATCTAATGCATATAAATGATCCATCCCAAACCACTCCTTTGATAAATTAAACTCATACTTTATTTAGGTCTTTTTTTTTAATTGGAATTTCAGAATTAAATGTTAGAACAAATTGGAAAGAATCAGAAAAACTAGAAAAAATAAAATGCAAGAAAGTCATTCAATTAAATGACCACCTAAAAAAATATAAGAAAGCTGTAATTTTGGATGAAAAAAATTCATCATTGTATGTTATAAATTTGAAGAAGGATGAAACACTAAAACATATTAACACTACCAACATCACTGTTAGACCAAAAAAGGAGAACCCAAAAAGGCCTAATGATCTGAAACCTATAGCATGTTGCAATGTGCTATACAAAATCATTGCCAAAATCATATGTGGGAGATTGAAGAGAATATTGCCAAGCTTGGTCAATTTAAATCAAGGAGCTTTTGTAGAAGGGAGGGAATTGGTTCACAATGTTTTATTGTGTCAAGAAAAACAAAAAAAAAACAACAAATTTCAATCAATAATTAGCAAAAAAGTAAAAAAAACGTACCTGAAATCTACCGGAGGAGAGGAGGGAGTCGCCGGTGTTGGAGTTGCTGGACGGGGGGAGAACAATCGAAGCTTGGTGAACTCCTAATCCGCAGATCTCAAAAAAATGAAAAAAAAAGTGAACACAGAAGAAAGAAGATGCGGCTACGGGGAAGCGTTTGGATCGTCGAAGATCAGCGGATCCGTGCGTCCCTGGACCGTCGAAGAAAGAGGAAAAAATTAGAATGCGAAGGGCAGAGCGGAAGAATTAATTTGTTCATAGAGTCCAGTTGTAAATAATTCACCTCCTCTTAACTATCTCAATATTTTTTCCCAAAAGAAGGTAACTTCTAAACTTAACATTACCCTCCCTCCACCCACCTCAAACCAAACATAGGTTAATGTTGATTTTCCTTCACTTTATCTGATTTTTTGAAGTTCTGATCTGATCTGGTATGATTTGATTGAATCTAGTCTGATAAAAATTTATTGTGTACATCATCATTTAATATATTTACCGTGCATTGTACGAGTTAGAATCTAGTACAATAAAAAGAGGCGGGTAGGTCGCCAGAACTATGTCGCACTGATTTGTATGTTGGAGCCGGTTCCACGTACCAAGCTCCACAAAGAAAAAAACACACAAAAAATGAAGGCTTACCATCTCCAATAATCCAATGTCTTATGGATGCCTCAATTTTCTTTCTATAATATTCTTTTCGTCTCAGTGTATTTGTCTAGTTTGAGTTTTTCAAATCAAACTAGACAAATTTTAATCATCAATTACTTTAAATTTATACTACGTATTGCTTATTAATAGAGTAAATTAAAATTTCAAAAGCTCAAAACAAGATAAATCTAATGAAATATTTTTTATAGTAAAATACGTAACCATTTTTATTTAATTGAAGTTCAAAGTTTATCCAGTTAGACTCAAAAAGTCAAATTGAATGAATACACTAGATCATAAATAGTACTCCATATTTATTTATGATAAAGATAATGTTTGAAAATGGCATATACACTTTAGGGGTAGACATGAATAAGATTTGATAACACACTTAGATTTGGTATACTACTACAGTACTACCCCGTTTCAATAACGAGCTCAAGCTCATTAAATAAAAAAATAAACCACCACCATCTAAAATCCACTCTCTTCACTAAAAAAAAATTAATCGTTGAATAATGATGTAAGAGCTTGAAATAGGTATGAACCACTACACGTCTTTTTTATTCAAAACAACTTTAGTGACATGGCGTACACATGACGAAAAACGCCCCAAAAGCACTTGAACCACTACGGATGGTCTGAAGGAAGAGCCTGGAGAAGGTGTAAATTCGCAGACAATTTACCCCTATGGAACTAAACAGTAAAGAACTTAAGTCTAACTAAATTGTCCCATTCTTTATTGAAATTTCTACATATGTACCATTTTGCTATATATAATGATGATAATAGCAGCAACAACATTGCATGCCTTGCCTTAAAATGCAATGGCTATTTAGAATAGGAGAAATCAATAATATGGTCGAACTTTATTGCAGGCACAGCCATGTGTATACATTTACTATGTAGTCTGTACATAAATGATATTAATTACAGAGTGGGAGGGATCCAAATATAACCATGCGTTTGGGCATAGCCTACCCTTTTGAGCAAATCATCTGCTTCTGCAGGGCCACGGCTGCCTGACTTGTACGCTCTCGGCTTCAACTCTCCCTTATCTATCCTCTGCAGTATCGGAGTGAATATCTTCCATGCCACCTGTACACCCGACCCCCACCGTTATTATATTATACTCACTCCCACCATAACCATTCATTAATAATATATATTCATCTCTGCGAGAATACACATTCCTCCTACGTTGCTAACATGTTTGATAGGACTAAGGTACGGAGTATGGTATACCTTCAGCTCATCTCTGCGAACAAAATGCTGCTGATCCCCCTTTATTCTGTATGTGATGTGCCCCCATCCCCAAATTAAAACAAAAACGAGTAGGTTAAGAAAAGTTTAAGGTGGTAAAAAGAAAAAAAAAAGGAATAGCATAATTTTAGAGGGATGAGAATGGTACGCGTCAAGTATAAGGCGCTCATAAGCCTCTGGAATGGTAACCCCTTGATAACGTTGCTGGTAAGACAGGTCAAGTTCACTCTGAACCGTTGACAATTCCAGTCCAGGTTTCTTCACCTGCAAAAAAGGGTATTGCCACATTCTCAGCACATCCAATTAAGTGTCTTTTTTTCTTTTTACCGATCCCAATGCTATGTACATATATAATAGTAACACTTTTATGTTCTGTTTTACTTGGAAACATTATTAGCTTACCGTGAGTTTCATGTACATTGCTTCTGAAGGCTGAAGACGTATAACAAATTCATTCCTTCCTTGTTTTTGACCTGATAACGTGTTTTTTACAACACACTCAAAACTTTATTCTTTGCAACATTAACAAATAATGACCCACGGTAGTCATGAAATCACTGACTCCAAGTCCAAACCACCCAAAAATATCTACGTTTGAGATTTAAGAGTTAACAGTAGATTTTATATCTTTTATGCACTTAGTTTTGTCTTTTTTAAATTTTAATGCAATTAGTTTATTGTTGTTTTTAAAGAGAAATTATTTTCCATATCCTTTTCTTTTCTCATTCAAATTCCTTGAACCAAACATAATACAAAAGAGGTGGAATTTTAATTCTGATACTTACATTTGTATATATCACCAGGAACTTCCTTAAATTGGATACGTATTTCTGCCTTTCTAGAATTCAGTGCTTTTCCTGCCTTCAGTATAAATGGCACACCTGCAGCAAGTCCGTCATGTCATGAACTCATGATATTGATTTACTAACAACAAATGGGCCTTAGGGGTCCATTTGGAACCCAATTAGGCTGTGGAAAGAACATGTGCCAGAAAATAAAAAAGGATTCAAACTCGATAAATCAATATTAGACATTTGTTCAAACTCATTCTTTTCATACTCCCTCCACCCCTAACTCAAATTCTAGTTTGCTTTTCCAGTTTAAGAAAAAGTGAATTGTATGGTGGAAGTTTGTGTAGAGAAGAGAGAAATAGAGTGAACCGCTCATTTCTTACGCTAAATGGAATGGGAACTTCTTTTTGAGAAAGCTAAGAAATTTAAATATCTATATGTAAAACATTAATCAAATTTAATTTTTCTTCATAATTTAATAGACAAAACGAAACACTAAAAATTCTTTTTCCTTTAGCATTTTTCTCTCCCTACAATTTAAAAGTTCCAAATATAGACCATCTCTTTGAGACAAATATTTGAACCATTTCCTAAAGAGCACACAGGATGTTTATATAAAAAACCAAAACGGGTATCATCTCAGATTCTCACCTTCCCATCTTTCATTGTGAACACGCAGAACCATTGTAGCAAATGTTGGAGTGTTTGAATTCTTATTAAGAACTGTTGGATCATCTCTATAGCCCTCATATTGTCCAAGAACAACCTCTTCGTCTTTTATAGGATTCACTGATTGAAGCACCTGAATTCCGTGATAAATAAATCAAACGGGATTGATATATCATGCATTGCAAGAAGCATGCATACATATATGTTGTGAGAGTGTTCACAAAGTTTTTCACTCATCAAAATCAAGTGTTTTACATTTCCCAATTGTCATACGAAGTATTTATCAGCAGAAGGGAAGAAGATCCTTAAGAAAAATAACTGTAAGAAAAAGTTATTCTTCACAATTGATATGGCAAACTCATCACTAAGTTGCTCCTACATAACAACCCATTATCCATGTCTGGTGATTCACGATAGAGCCACAGTTCTTCTGACCAAAAAGGAACAACTACAATACTAAAACTCTAAAAGCATATGAAGAGCAAACCTTCACTTTCTCATCTCGGATATGCTCAGGTTTTAGCGAAATTGGCTTCTCCATGGCAACAAGGCAGAAAATCTGTATTGCAAACAAAAGTGACAATTCAAAAATAAAATAATGAATACTCTCCCATGATACCTTTTTGAAGGAACTCTTATCCAAAGATGTAAATAATACTCCATAGCAATATCATGAGATTGCAGAAGAGAGTAAGGGAGATTGGGGGAGATGTGAGGGCAAAAAAAGGGACCAACATAATGCAAACACTTTCTGCAAAAGACTAGAAAAAACTTCATTATTGAAATCATTCAGAAATAGATGTAGAACTTTGGATCATATTTTTAATTAATTTAGAATGTGATGAGATTATAACAGATTACCTGCAAAAGGTGGTTTTGAATAATGTCGCGTATAATCCTGCCAAAATTTTGTCTGGTAAGACATAATGAAATGTAATTTACACAAAATATATTTGATCATTACATTACTTCTTTCCAAACTACACCTAGATTCAGTAGGCGAAATGCTTAGCCTCTCTCTTTTATATCCTTCCATTATTGCAAAGTGTGTAAAGCGTAAATTATATTTCATGAACTTATGTAATTAATGCATTCTCCCATCAAGAAAACTAGCACTACACCGAATAAATTTTAGTTCTTTTATTGACATATGAGGTTGCAGAAATATATGGATAGGTATACTCAGTGAAGTCCCACAAGTGGGGTTTGGACGGGTGAGTGTATGTAGACTTTACCCATATTTATAAAGGTAGAGTGGCTAGTTTCAACAGACTCCGGGCTCAAAAAGAAAACATATTAGCACTATACCACAAGAAGTAAATGTCTAACAAATATCAAAGAAACAGATGATCCAAATCTATCTACCAAAAAAAGCCCCACCTCAGTACCTCACTACACCTAGCAACTTCCAAAAACACATGTTGTCTATAGAAAGACGCATGAAAACCCAACTACCCTACAAATTTATTTGTGGCCCTCTAAACTATCCTATCTATATGACCCGGTCAGTTGCAAAAACCTCGTTTAAGTCCAAATTACTATATCCTCAAGAGCCATAAACAGGGAGAACCATCCAAATTATAACATCAGACAATGTAAAATTGGGTAGACATGATGGTCTCCAGAAAGAGTACCCATATTCATCAAAATATCCACCACGGCCTTCAGTACCAAAGTCTTCTTTAAATACAATCTGGATGCAAACAAGTGATATACAGATAAGGGAACACGGATAACAACACCCTTATGTATTTACTATTTAGATAGGTGGAAGAGGTGAAACATGTGAATATGGAAGCGTAAAACAAACTAATGTAAGAACATATTCCATCTTCTAAGATATCATCAGCATTTCGGCAGCACCTTAATCCAACCTATATTGGGGATGGTGGCATACCATTTTGTGTCAATAAGTTGTATTAGATTATTTAACACTATATATTCATGCAAAAAAACACCCAAAAGTAGTCGAATATTTGTATTTCCGCAAGACCTTTATCTACGTGGAAATATGAGAATATAATCTGTTTCCAAACCACGTATCTGACAGATTTAAAGAGTATAACAATGAAAAAACATGTACTCTCGCAATTTGCTTTCTTGTGGGCACACTATAGATTTTATTCTTCCATGTTGGAAGGAGAAAGAGAACCCATGTAGCCCATATAATTCTAGTATTAGGGTTAAGAAAGTGTTATGTCAAGTCAATTATAGTTAGCAAAATTCTTCATAAAGTTTCTCTCTTTTGTTTTATTTTTGGCCCATGCATATAATATAATCTAACATAACTAGATAATTGAATCTCTTCCAAATCCCCACTAGTTTAATACAGAGTACAGTACAGCATAAGCATGTGTGAAAACCAACCTGTATGTTATCAATGTTGTCACGATTCCAAAGAGGCAAAAAGAAGCGATTTGCAAAGCGAAGCACGAGCTGCATGGAGGCAATTAATTTACAAAATCATATATCTAAGAAAAAATTGATTACTTAGATAGGGAAAGAATATAGTTTCTAGAAAGAATACCAAGTTCTGAACCAACTCCTTCCCCAAGTAGTGGTCAATACGATAAATTTGTGGTTCGTCAAATAATTCGCCCATCTGAGCACTGAGTTTCTCAGCTGTGGCCGAATCCCTCCCAAATGGCTTCTCAACTATGATGCGTGTCCATCCACCATGATCAGCTGTAAAAGGATGCATGAAGAAATCGATCAAATAGCAAGAGTATAATGAAGAATATAAGCCTTTTTTATATGCTCAATTGCTTTGAATGAACAATATGGATGAAAAAATGATGTACCCCTGGATGGCTCCACTAAAACCCCAAAATCCAAAACAACACCAAAACCCTAATCTCCTCTCCTCTTCCTTCTTCTCCTCCTCTGGCCGAAACTATAACCCATCAACATACCCCACATGATTTTGTTCATTGAATTAAAACATAAAAGACCAAAACTCATGTCAAACCACAAACCTAATCAAGCCCCTCTTTGTCTCCATGTAAGGCCGAAACTAGGGGGGCCAAAAACAACCCCTCTTTTATTCCCCAACATTGACCAACCATTGTCCCCCTTGTGTCTCCCACCTAGGCTGGATAAACAATAACAAAAGGACAAAAGACTTTTGTGAGTTTATTGACACTCCACCCACCAAATCAGTCCCCACATACCTTCCATGAATGACCCAATATAAGGCCAATAAAACCAACCATCACCCATCCCCTTTGTCCCCCATTATTTCCCAAGAATCATCACTTATTTCCTTGTGATTTTCCTCACTAAAGGACAAGCCACCAGCCATGAAAATCAAAGACCAAATCCCTGATTTCATTCCATTAAGAAAACATAAACAAATGGATATTATTCTTGTGATTTGTGAGTGGATGTT